GTCAATTTGTAAATCGAGATTAGCATTGCTCTATTAAGAAATGGGAAGCTGTAATTACGACGGGAATGCGTAAATTCATAATCTTTGGTTAAAACATAATTTATGCAACGCTATGATTTTTAATGCATTTGTGCTTTGACGAGAAGCGTCTCTTAGTCGTCCCGACTAAACCTGACGCTATAGAATTACCGTAATAAAGAGAGAGAAGATACAAGAATGCAATTGATTATTTTAAGCGGTTTGTCGGTGGTATGGTTTAGTGTGGCGAAGGGCGGGGAGGAGGGTGGAGGGCGGAGGGTGGAGGGATGAGGTAGAGATATGAAAAGAGAGAGAGAGAGAGAGAGAGAGAGAGAGAGAGAGAGAAAGAGTGAGCGAAGAAGTAAAGGGGGGGGGGGGGGGGGGGGGAGTGCGAAATTGTTGTGTAAATAATGACGAGGGGGGGTATGTAGGTAATTTTTACAGTGTCGCGCGATTTTTTCGGACCTCGTCATGCATGTGTGCGCGCGTGCGCGCGTGACGAATTTCTAATTAAAGTCGTAGTGAGGGCTGGAGCTCCGCGTAGTGATGGTTTGCGCGGCGGCGCATCGGCATTGTTAAATCGACGGTGATTTACGGCTCGTGAGGTCATAAATGAGGAAATTTGCGAGTAAAATGATGACAATGGATGAGAAAGGATGATTTGTGGTGATTTTGCTTTTTAATTTGATATATCTCGCGTCTGCCATATTCTCAACGGCTACATTAAAGTTTGAATAACTTTGGTGCGCCTACTTTTTACGCTATTCTTTTATGAAAAATGAATAGTTTACGTTTATTAGATAGATGAGAAAAGTAATGCCGATATCGGAGAAATTTCGTACTTTACGTTCTAATGGCTTTCCTGCGGACTCGTCGCCTAATTTAATATTAAATAAAATTCTTATTTAAATTTTTGATGAATAAATTGTCTTATTATACTATCAGTGCATGGGTAAGAAGAACTAGCTGCTGTTCTTTTAGCGAAAACACGTTAAATTCCAGCCCTTTCGTATCCTCTTTCAGCGCCTTCCGTTCTCCACCCTTGTTTTCTTTTTTTATTTTTGGTTATGTTTTTGTTTTTTGTTTTCTCTTCACTGGAATATCTTTTAAAAATAATTATTATGCATTTATCGTTTACGTAATCGTGTACTTGCTGAAGATATCAGGTACTTTTTTTTATTATAAATATTTCATAATAATACAGCACAAAATTCAGTATAACACATTGTCAAATCCAAGATATCTGAAATAGACTTGCGATTGGCGCTTTTTTGTGTGCCTATGTGTGTGCGTGCACCAATTACCGCAGTTACTGAATACTATGACTAACTTTCAAATGTATTGTTCGAATCGAGTTATTTCGTAACTGGTATGAAGTACAGTAAATATGCAGTCGTCACATGGTATGAAAATTGTTGCCAAGCACTTAAAATTGAAAAATAAATGTATCCAAATACATAAATTATAGTCGTCCATTATTCGCTGAGCGTGTTTGCACAGTAGTGGAGAAAAATGCGAAGGAAATGCGAAAGAAATGCGAAAGAAATGCGAAAGCGCCAATGTTCGAGACTTGATTGAAGAACTTGAGGCTACGACGAGGCTGAGACACGAAGCAAGTTATGCAATGCTGATTTTCCTTTAACTTTGAGCATCTATCTCTCTCGGCAATTATCGCATAAGATTAAATCGCCGCCAGTCAGTCACCGAGGTTCTGCTTCGGCTGTGGCTTAACCTTTTTCCGGCGTCTCTCGTCTCCAATCCAAGCGGCCTCGATTTTCCAATTGCGAGCAACGATATAATTACGCCGAGGAGAGAAAATCGACTACGCAAAAGCATGTCGCACTTCACGTCTCGTCTCCTGGCGACCTCACCTTTACTCCTCACGTGAGATGCTCTGTCGAAAAGCCTAATTGTCCGTGGAAACGCGAACAGTTACATCCAAGTCTGAGTCCTGGAATAATTGCAGTCGTAGGGGGCGTACTCTGCTTCTTACGTCTAGGCATGCGCTTCGTACATTTACAATTCCTTCTTCTCGCAAACGTTTTCGTTCGCGTGGCTTCATAGCGAGCGGTATCCTTCACGACCGAATCACCAAATCCTTGATTATTTACACGGAAATATAATGGAATAGTAGCGTGAAAATACGTCCTCTAGGGGATACGCGCGCCCGCGTAGTCAAATACTCGGCTAATAATAAATAGAATTGAATATAATACGTTTTCTTCAAAAGTTTATCATTCGTGAAAAGATGCGCTACTTCGTTTTATGACGCTCGATGTAACTTTAAAACTGTAAAAATTAATGTTCCGTAAGCAATCTTAGATGATTAACTAGTCGGCGGAGTAGCGCTACTTGCGCCCGGCAGACATTAAAAACATTGGGCAAAGCAACGTGCATTTAAATAATGATCGAGCCAAGGGATTGTGGGTAGGTTAGCCGAGGTGCCCATTCGTCTATGTTCGACAGGCGAGAATCGAGAGAAATCCCGGAACAGCGACATCGACATCGTCGATCCTCCCGTAGGATTCCCCCGTCGTTTAATAAAGCCGCGAAAATAATAACATGATCGCGCCCGTCAGGCGTTCCGGCGATTCTCAATCCCCGGAGATTTGGTGGTTGGTTGGTTGGTTGGTGGGAGTGGGAAGGGGGTTGATTTGCACACACGCACACACATACGCGCGCGCGATCGGGATAGCTTTGAATAACTATATTATCGCGCGTCCGTGTACTCAAAGAACCGTATCAGTTTTAAAAGGCTGAATTATTAAGGAAAGCATTATTCTCGGGACAAGTGCACGGAACGGCCGTGGAACAGTTCCTCCAAAGACTTAGGGATAGGAAAACAGCTTCATGCACCGTCGGAGCGGCCGATCGCGTTTGCGCCGGCGATTTTTATTTGCGGGCCCAGCGCCGGAAATATCGAGTTCTGTTTGAACACCGGTCATTACGCTCTTCGTGACTTGGCTCGAGCTCTGTTTGCACAGAGGAGACCGGCGTATCGCGGGCCAGCGGAGGAAGAGGATTGGACTATGTCCGGTAGGGGGAGGGAATGAACTCGAGGAAGGGAAGAAGAAGTCGGCTCGTGAAAAGTTTAGCAACCAATTCCTGCCAATCTATGCTTTTAAGTGAGGCCCCCCTTTTTCCCTCCTTTCTTCTTCTTCCTGCCTTTGTTAGCGCGAGCGTTCCGGAAAGAAAGGTTTTGCGGAAAGTTTCGTCGTTGATTTATCTCGACATACTGCGATTATCGATCGGCCCGTATTCCTCGAACAAGCCTTTGTGCTTAGCATCGGCCCTCCCTCCGCCCTTGTAACCCTTCATATATTTTCCTAATACGCAATTATTCGTCGAACGTCGATGAATTTTTACCGCGGGGATTGTCAATATTGTGGAAGCATGGCAACTAATGGATAGTTACGTGAATATTATTGATATTTTATTAAAGTTCTTTTCTTTTTTTTTTCTTATTTTTTTTTCTTTTTTTTTTTTTTTTTTTTGTACATATAATGGTTTCTAATAAGGCTTATCAATTATTATGACTTATAATGAAATGTATAAATTTAATTTGCGTTTGCAGTCTTTGTCTTGACTATCTCTCGGCGTAAAAATCTGGAACCTTACTTAATATACAACTGTAAATTATTATTCGTATCCTTTTCGTAAAAATATAAATTGTAAATATTTATTATTCTAACTCATTTGATGATGATCCATTACACTTTGTGAACGGAGAAAAATAGTGAATAAATTGGCGAAACTAATTCTTTTTTTTTTATTTGTTTTTTCATAGATTTTTCGTTTGTTTTTTTTTTTGTTTTTTTTTTTTGTTATTTTTTTGTATTTTGTTTTTTCTTTTCGTTTTTTTCGTTTGTTTGTTTTTTTTTTTTTTTGTTTTTTTTGTTTTTTAAATAGGTTTACTTCACTTTTTTTCCAGTGTATGTACATAAAAATTGCTGTTGTTACGATTGTTGTTGAAAAAAATTAATTTTTTTCGAATGCTTAATGCGAACTAAATAATGTCATAAATTTCGTTAATTGTATTTTTCATACTTACTTTTAACAATATCGGAATTTCTTTATTATTTAAAATAGGAGTTAAATTAGGATATTTCGTTTATTTTTACCAAAGAATTTCAATATATACAGTGCTGCGATTCGTTAGTTCGTTCGTTCGTTCGTTCGTTCGTTCGTTCGTTCGTTCGTTCGTTTTTTTTTGTCTTTTTTCGTCTTTGTTATTTATTTATTTTTTTTGTTCGTTTTGTTTTGTTTTTTGTTTCTGTTTTCAATCGTTTTATTTGTTTCCATCGTCGTTTTTATAAATTAATCGTGTATAGATTATTGCACTTCAAAATTCTTATTCCATCATGATTGAATGGGAGATGAGTAGTGAAAATTGCGAAGGTTATTAACGTTTGCTCTTCTATTATCCAGGAAACACTTTGATCAACTTTATTCTTATATTCCTCCTTGCCATTCCCTTTCTCTTTCTTTTCTTTATACTCGACATAAGAGTTGCTCTTTTTCTTATCGTTCGAGACTTATTTACATGACAGTAGCTCGCCCGGTAATCGCCACGCATTCGTGTTATTTCGATGATACAAGCATTTTGTTTAACAATATAATAACGACCTACGCTAATATGTAATAAGCTTCGTAAATATAATAACCTCATTTCCTTCTTATAGAACACAGAATTGAATTTTTTCTTCGAAATCAACGTCACGCAATGTTACATTATTAGAATAAAATTTTTTCCCCTTCCAATATACTACGCAACTATCTCGCTGCAACGAACTGAGCGAGCCATTTAAAAGTACAATGAGATAACATTGAGCATCGTGAAAAGCAAATCGCATTGCTTTGTTTATCAAACAACGTCGTCGATAAAATAAAATCATTAATGGAAAGAGCCGAATTGTGAAAATAAAGCGAATTTCCCGACTTTACAATAAATTCGGTGCGACCAAGCCGTCGCCGTCGCCGTCGCCGTCGCCGTGCAGCACCGTTGCGTCCTTCCATATTTCAAGACACGAGGCTCGCAGCCACCGGCCGCTTTCTCTTATTTCTTTTAAACATAAATAACGATAACAATACAGCTTCTTAATATGAAATGTACAACTTATGGTACAGAAAACGTTGGGCTGAGACTGTCGTCTCATCGATTCGCGTAATTATATACAGTATAGGTCGTGACGATGTGACGTTACTTCAGCCTAACACCCACTCCCCACCTCCCTATCGCCCTTTCCCAACGCTATTTTATTCTCTTTTATTATATTTCCCTATTAATATTGAACTTACGAGATGCGCATTGTAATCACGGCGATCGTTCGTGCTGACATTCGTAATAGACGTCCGTCCGCTCTTGGCTCGCGTGACCTCCCGACGTGACGCACATCGCCTTCGCGTCGTCGCGTCGACGTTCGATCCACCCAACCAATGCACCAATACTAAAATGCACATATTTACAGGACACAGAAGAACACTAAGCGCGCACCCTCTCGGCCCCATTAACCAACGTACCAACGTTCAACTACCTCCCCCAAATAAAGCGCCTACGCTCTAATTACAACGCGCGGATCTAATAAATAAATTCTAAGTACGGATGAGATGACGTTGTAGCTCGATGCTATCGTAGCTGGGGAAAGGGGCCGCGAGTCCCGGATCGGGCCACGTGAGCGCGTCGCGGCGACCTCCCTAAAATCGGCGCCCGTCCCTGGGCCCAATAGCACTCGGCGTAACGTGGCTTACGAACGGACGAAACGATAAAAATTGTCGAACGTTAAGGATGCGTGTTAGGCGTGCGAATAGGGCCCAAACGGCCGTCCGCGCTCGCGACTTTGCTTTCTCACGGTCAGTGGCTCGTCGTCGCCCATAGCCTCGACTACGAGGGCGAGAGATCTTGGGCCTCCCTGCAAAGGCTATCCGTTGGCGAGGGTGTCGTTCTTCTGAGGGCCGATGGATGCGAGGAGCCGATCTGCGTCGAGGACTTGAGCTGCGCCCTCGAGCTCGCGTACGGTGCAAATCTGTGATGCGTGAGGCCGCCGAGAGCCGAGGGGTAGAGGGGCCTCGGAGCTGCCGGACCACCACCCCCGGGACTATGCTGCTGGGCCGTGCTCGCAGCCAATTGTTGTTGCTGCTGCTGCTGCTGCTGCTGCTGTTGTTGTTGTTGTTGTTGTTGCTGCTGCTGTTGCTGTTGTTGTTGCTGCTGCTGCTGCTGCTGTTGCTGCTGCTGCTGCTGCTGCTGTTGGTGATGGTGAGCAGCAGCGAAGAGGGTCGGGCCTAAAGACGAGGCCCACCAGAGGTGGCCCAATTGCTGTTGCTGTTGTTGCTGCTGTTGTTGTTGTTGTTGCTGTTGTTGCTGGTGATGGACTTGTTGGTGCTGCTGGGCCTGCTGATGGCTAGAACTCGCCGCGGCCGCTGCCGCCACCCCCGGGTAAACGAGGGCGGGACTCACCAGCTGTGCGTAGGGACCGACGGCCGCGGCGGCCGCGGCCCTCAGGAGGATCTGCGAGCGTGCGGCCCACATGGCCTTCTCCTCGAGGCTGAGGTTACTGGCAGCAGCGGCGGCGGCGGCCGCGGCCGCGGCGCTCGACTGCTCGATCTCGAAGGGGAACCGATGGGGGAACCTCAGGCTCTGCTGCTCAGCCAACATCGACTCCATGGTCTCCCTGTAAGGGTAACTGTGCTTCATTATGCGCGCTGCTCTTTCGTGCTCGGTGTGGGTGGGGAAAATTAATGATTCGTGATGAATGAGCGGGTCCGTCGCGATTAATGCCCGGCGGAAGCGCTGAGTGCTAAGCACTCGTTGATGAGCTTACGGATGCCGACGGACTTTTTCTATTTTCAGTGGGGAACGCGCGTTGCGTGTGAAACGTTTTTTAAATCAGCCCTCGCCGTATGTGAACGGAGACGCCTTGCCTCTGATAGCATAACGAAACGCTTGTGCGCACTTTTTTTCCTTCCTCTCTCTCTCTCTCTCTCTCTCTCTCTCTCTCTCTCTCTCTCTCTCACTCACTCACTCTATCCATCTATGTCTGCCTTTTTTCGAGCAAGCTCTATGGGCTGGATAATGATTTAGCTAGTTTTGACACTCGTTTCACGCAGCTGCATCGTCTTTATCCTTTTACAAGCTCAAGCTCAATCTTATATTTATAGCAATGCGGGGATTCTTTGGGCGTTAATATTAATCTCCCGGTAAGAGATTATTGGTGTTTTCGTGAGTGTTAGGACGATTCGCGAGGAGAGCGAGATAATTCTTTATTGCTTTTGTAGAGGTGCGCGGCAAGAATGTTTATTAAAATATACGGCGTTCCCGTACAGCTAATTAAGGCTGGATGCGTTATATTACATCGTCATTATTGTTGCGCAATAAAAATACCGACTATTATTCTGGGGAAGCTTTGCATTCCTGATTTATTATTGTATCGCGTATATCGTCGACATTGGACGAGGGCTCGAGAGAAGAGTTGTAGTGTCTCGAGTTTGCGCAAAGTACGCGGTTTCGCGCGCGCGACTATGGTAGCGTTTGTTTTCCTTCGACCTTAAGAAGCCGTTTTGCTATGTGATGTTTTAGAGAGGAGCGCGAACATTATTTGCATATTTTGCATTCGTAGGATAATGCGTTGCTTTGATTACTCAACAAAAAGCTATTCGTCTAATATTGTTATATTTTGTTGGCGTTGTATGCCACTGGGCAGGGCATGAATAATACGATGAAGATAGTTATTTTTTTCCACTTTTATGCGTCAAATGAAAATTTAAGAATAATCATTGTCTTCATCATCGTCGTATGAATAAAGATAATGAGATAATGTACGCAAAACACGTCTAACGGATGATAATCGAACGAGTTGTTATTACGTGAGCTGCGTATAGCGCAATGAGAACGCCTTGCTGCGACGTTATGGTAAGGTTTTCGGATGAATAATCATTCGTATTATGAAAGTATAGAGCACTTGATGAGGGGTGATGGAGTATTTATGGAATGTTCGCGTGATCGTGTACGGTCAGCTTGTCTCGTAGAGTGCGAGAAGATAAGTTTTATAAAATCGGAGCGGCTGGAATTTTAAAAGGGATTCCGCGACGGGCGACATTCGTCGCATGCAAATGACTGTAGAAAGTTTTGGGCGAATTTATGCGTCAAGTAGGATAATGAGCGAGTACGCGCCCGAGACGTAGGAATAAAAAACAATTGAACCAACCTCTCGAAATCCGTGAGTCTGGATGAGTCCCGGAAGCCCTTGGCAAAGGGATTGCTGTCGATCTTGAGTTTCGTAATCTGCAACAAAAATGGAAGGACACGGCATGAGTGCACCCGTAACAAAGTGCCACACATCTACCGGTTCAATGGTCGTGGTGATGGTGGTGGTGGTGGTGGTGGTGGGATAAGACACTGGAGAGAGATAGATAGTGGGGGAAGGGACGTTGAATTTTTTTTTTTTATTTTTTCAAAGGCTTTTCCCAATTTCACGTGCACGCACTCACTCATTCACTCACGATGTCTTCAATTTGTCGTACCTAAATGGCCTTAATGAGCCTTCAAAGTATTTTCGATTACTCGATCTTGGCTACAAGACCTTTAAGTCGTTTATTGGAAAGGACAGCATGAAACTGCTGGCGCTTAGCTTGAAAAATTCTCGACGTACTAAAGCTCACTTCGCGCAAACATTTCCTCGCCATGTTGTGCGCATTACTGTTTCATAATCGTGAGTATTTGGTCGCTTATTCGCCAATAGGAGTACATTAGTCATCGGCATGTAGCAATATATTGTTTCGCAATTTAGATGAATATTAATAATCTTTTATCTGTACAATTGCATTATCGACGTAACGTCGTACACCAAGGTCCGCGTAACAGGATATTGATTTTGCATCTCGTCTAGGCCAGTGTCCCCACTCCTCTCGTTCAAGCTTATAAATAATAAGCTTACAATTGCGATGGGATGGCACCGTAAGCATTGCCGCGCAATCACACTTAATCGGCCAGATGTTTTAAGTTTTTTGGGTCGACCGGACCGAGTGGATCGATTGGATTTGAGAAACGAGAGATAAGCTAGAGCGAGAAACGACGTGAAAGCACAATGAAACGAAGGCAAAGACGAGATGTGCGACTGAGAAAAGAGAGAAGAGTAATGAGAAGCCGTGAGTTACCGAGCAAGAAGTTATATTTACATGCTCCGTGGAATTTAAGCAAGCGAAGCGAATGATTCGGCCCGCCAACGCGCACTTTACGTCACTCGCGATTTACACAGAGACATACCGAGGTGAAGAGGGATGGTCGAGGCGAGGAGAGAGCTGGCCCACGCTCGAAGCCTCTCCGAAATCATTAGAAATGCCGCGCAACCCCGGGCTCCCACCGCCCACACACGGCCGAGGCAAGGAAGCGAGAAGCGAGTCTCACGGCTTTCACAGCCAAAGCTTTTAACGATTTTCCTCTCCTTAGGCCGTAGCTCATCATTTATCGCCCGGCCCGTGATGCCACGGTACCTCGGCCTCCCGAGGCCGGTCGTCCGACTCCGAGGAAAATCGCTCGGCTACGAGCCGAGAGCGCTCGAGTGTCGGCCTTGGGCGATCGATCCGGCGAGAAAAAGGATCGGACGATAATCGCGCTGACGCAAATGACGCTTAAGAGCCTTTGCCAGGGGAGAAAGTGCCTCGGACGCGTCAGTCTATGCATACGCAGCGGCTTATGTGCGAGCCTCTCGCTCACGGCACCTCGACCCGCCGGCTTAAGAACTCCCCCTCGCTCCTCCGGGGCCTGGGTGTGACCGGCACGTGCTGGGGACGAGGGCCACCCAGCGTGCAAAACGGATGCGCAGGTGGCAATACGGGAAAAGCCGGCCGGGATCGCTACTATCGGCTCAGGGTAGTCGGAAATTCGAGAACCCGGAGAGGAAGTGACGGAGGTTACGTCGTAGGAGAGGTGGAGGAAGAGAGGCTTTAAATGCTCGGGCGTTTCGCTTTCATGACGACGAGGGCTCTTCGACTCTTTTATCGAGCGTATCACCGACACGGCCGTTGCAATTATCTCGCCATGTCGATGCGCGGGGGAACGGGTAGCGTACTTTCCTCGCAATTTCGCTCGGCTCCTCGAGATTTTCAAGCTAATGTTTCATCCAATGGTATTGCGCTCGCATCTCCAAGCTTCCCCTTTCCCTCCCCTCGTCTCTCTATACTTGTTAATCCGAGCATTGATCGCTACTGACGACGATCGTTACGCAATGACACAGTCTCGCTTTACCCGATTTTGGGTCGGAGTCACAGAGTGAAGGATAGCTCGCGACTCTTTTTTCGATAAAATAGTATCGGCACTCGTAAAAACCGAAAAATTCCACGCACCAACAAGCAACGGACATTCCCCATCGAGCTAAAGAAGCACTCGTGAGACTCGCCTATTGGATACTCGGACCTGGCGACGGTGGTGGCGACGGTGGTGGCGGTGGTGGTGCTGGCGGTGGCGGTTATTGTGGTTATTGGGGGGTCGGAGAGCGCTGTCGCCTTTACGAGTCGCGGCTCTCGAGGCGGCCAGCCGATCGTTTCGAACCGTATTAATCGCAGTTAAGGAAAACAAGGTGAGCTGCGATTCCGAGAGCCAAATTAAAAATCGCGGACTTTAAAAAGCGGCTGACTATTTACGAGGTCCAGCTAATGAGATTGGCATTTACGACACTGGAGGCAGTCAACCTATCCCGCGGGCGGACGCCTATCATTCACTTATAAAAGTAGAGTGGCAGAGATAAGGTGGATGAGGGCTAGAGAGGGAAAAGTTCGAGTCGCTAGTCGAACGCCTACTCAGGAAGCCGTGAATCCGCGTGGGCATCGTCGGGCCCGGGTTAGAGGGGATGTTAGGTTGGTGGATTCAGGGGCGGTGAGGGGAGGTACGGGTGACTTGGGAAGAAGTGAAAGCGCGGGCGGTCGTGGCCTTACGGATGTAGCGCGGGAAAGTGCGAGCGTCGAAGGTGGGAATGGATTGGCAAACAATCGGCAGTGTCCGAAGTTACGGGCGCCGATTAGCCGTTGGAATGGCCCGAACGGCAATTATCCATTGGCGAGTAAAAAAAAGCGAATGGAAAGCGATAACCTTGCGGGTAAATTAGCCATTGGAGTGCCGTGAGTACGCGCCGATCCGGACCCGCGGTAATACATCCGTAACGGCAATTGGTGGGCTTTGGTGAATTTTCTCAAGTCGCCTTATGCTTGCTATAGAGGAAGAGGAATAGAAAAGGTTTGATTAAGGTTAATTGCCGATGTTAGGCTCCCAGCTCAATTTCATACAAAATTTCATTACCTGAGCTCCCTACGACAAACTACGCCACTCATAAATATCATTTTTGCCTCACTCACGTTGCAATTCGCTTACGCGCACGAACAGAACTTTAATTCAGCGTAACTTTACTACCTACACCTTCTGTCATAGGCTATCGGAATATCTTAATCTAAACATATGAAGTATAATACTCGACTTTAATCTCACGTATTCCTTACGTTCGTGTGTTTTGCAGTAAATTGATATATTGAATCGAGCCAAAGTGCATAAAGACAAATGTCATTTCTTGCTTATAGTCAATGGTCCTTACAACTACTTTGAAATAGTTTAAATGCTGCTCTATAAGCATCGAGAAGCCACTCTACGGTCCCACCCTCGGACCACTGACAATCCCAGCAAAAGAATAGCAGCCAAAGCATTGACTATGTACGGGAGGAGAACTGCGAATAGCGGAAAGGAAAGGAAATGGCTGCTATTAAAGAAGGGGAAAGAGAGAGAGAGAGAGAGAGAGAGAGAGAGAGAGAGCCTCGGGCTCGGTTGGATATCCAACTATTTTCTGCGAGCGTCAGGCGCTTTACGATTCGTAACGTTCGACGTGTCCGGCGTGCTTGCAAAGCCGCCACTGTGACTTCCAGATTTGGCGCCGCGACTTGCGTCGCGCGTCGTTCGGTGGTTAAATCGCGCGACGAAAAGCCGCGGCGATCAAAGGCGGCATCGGGCGTCTTTCGACTAGAGCTGCGCGATCGTAAACCGCGCGGGCGTCGCGAGCCTCACCGCGGGAAGTGGCCCAGATGTTTGGCTAATGATGTCAGTGGAATCGTAACTAAGACGGCGAGAACCGAGCACGTGGGAGGGTCGAGGTGAGGAGAGGGAAGGAGCGAAGGGGACTCATGGCTAAGCTTCGTTTTAGTGTCGGCCGAGAGTGAGAGAGAGAGAGAGAGAGAGAATGTGTGTGTGTGTGTGTGTGTGTGTGTGTGTGTGTGTGTGTGAGAGAGAGAGATGCACAGAGAGAGAGAGAGAGAGAGAGAGAGAGAGAGCTAGGGAGAAAGTGTCTTATTACCCGGCGATGCACGTGCTGGAGCGCGAGCGCGAAAACCTTGGGGTAATTGGACCACCCACTCGCTCCGTTATAGATGCGCTGCTCTGCTCGTTTTTCTCTACTTCCTCCCTCCGGGGCTTGTTGCCACCGCTGCTCCCGTTACCGAGCAAATAAGCGCGCAACCGTGCCTACGAGGCATAGTGGCGGTGACGGGTGGCGTGGCGGGACGAGGCGGTGCAGGGGGAGGTAGAGGAAGGAGAAAGAAGGAAAGGAAGAAAACGTCGACGAGTCGATGTTTCGACAGTATACGAGGCCTAAGTGTGACCTGCCACTTAAGAATTGGAGATGGATCCGAGTTTGCTGAATGCTCGCGTGACCCCCTCCCACCGCCCCTCTCACCCATGCTCACTCACTCACTCACTCACTCTCTCTCTCTCTCTCTCTCTCTCTCTCTCTCTCTCTCGTCGCCGGGTAGTCACATACGCGGGTAAGTCTACAAAATGTGCTTAACATTGTTTTCGATAGTCTGACACGTGGGATCGTGTTGCCGAGTTCCGTGCTTTTCGAGAATTTGATATTTTTTGGCCAGAAATTTTCTGAGGCAAACTCGTACGCAGTTATCGTTAATTGATAAACTTATAATAGATTTATTTTATTACATAGTCTTATGAGAATGTTGCGCAACGCTAGGGGCTTACATCGAAGATGGCAGTCGATTACTGCTTAAAAATAATTAATAAAAATTTGTTTTTCTTTCGGTAAACATATCGCACCTTTGCCTACTTAATAGCTGTCTAATTGTCAAAGCCGAAGAATATTTACCGCGTTGCGTGTTAAAAATTCATGCAATCGGTGAATTTTTAAAGCCGAGCAATTACTGTTTTCTCCTTGATTGATCGTACGATTAGTTGAATAATAACAATGTTTTCGACAATGATTAAACTGCGCCAATTAAAATTGGTAATCACGTCGA